GCTAGCCTTGAGCTGAAGAGCTGAGGGACAGCGCCCAGGCCCAGAGTTCAGGCCCCATGACCAGACCAAAAAAAAAAAAAAAGCTGGGCACTGGTGGCACACACCTGTAATCCTAGCTACTCAGGAGGCTGAGATCTGAGGCTCTTGGTTCAAAGCCAGCCCAAGCAGGAAAGTCCGTGAGACTCTTCTCTAATAATCCACCAGAAAACAGGAAGTGGTGCTGTGGTTTAAGTGGTAAGAGTGCTCACCATGAGCTAAAGAGCTCAGGGACAGCTCCCAGACCTTGTGTGCAAGCCCCTCAACACACACACACACACACACACACACACCACCTGAAAGCCAGGAGTAGAGTTGTGGCTCAAGTGGTAGCACACTAGACTCAAGAAAAAAAAAAAAAACTCAGGGATAGGGCTCAGGCCCTGGGTTCAAGCCCCAGGACCACACCAATGCAGTGGAGCTCCACACTGGTGGCTCACACCTGCAACCCTAGCTACTCAGGAGGCTGAGATCTGAGGATCATGGTTTGAAGCCAGCCCAGGTAAGGAAGTCCATGAGATGGTTGTCTTCAATTAACCACCAAAAAGTCAAAAGTGGAGCTATGGCTCAAACAGTCGAGTGCTAGCCTTGAGCAAAAAAACTCAAGGAGCCAGGTGCCGGTGGCTCACGCCTGTCATCCTAGCTACTCAGAAGGCTGAGATCCGAGGATTGCAGTTCAAGGCCAGCCCAGCAGGAAAGTCCACCAGACTCTTTTTTTTTTTTTTTTTGGTGGGTTGTGGGGCTTGAACTCGGCCTAGGTGCTGAAGACTCTTATCTTCAATTAAACACCAGAAAACAGGAAGTGGCGCTACAGCTCAAAGTGATGGAAAAAGCTCAGGGACAGCACCCAGGCCACGAATGACAAAAAAACAAAAAACACCTCAAGGTAGAGCCCAGGCCCTGGGTTCAGCACACACACAAAATGCCCAGAGGAACCTGGCACCCAGCCAGCAGCCATGAACATCCGCAGAGATGTTTGCTGTCTATCACATGGCCCTTCCAGCTGCCACTTCTCCCTGACCGTGTCCCAAGGTTCATGAACCATAGCCACTTGCCCGGGCCTTTGGAGGGAAGCCCAGCCTGGGCTGCCTCTCCCAGGCCCCTCCCAGTCCCCCCTCCCAAGCCCACCCAGGCCCCTCCCAGGCCCCTCCCAGGCCCCTCCCAGGCCCCTCCCAGGCCCCTCCCAGGCCCCTCCCAGGCCCCTCAATCCCCCTCAAGGCCCCTCCCAGCCCGTCCCAGGTCCCTCCTAGGACCCCTAAGAGGCCCCGCCCAGGTCTGCCAGGCCGGCTACCTGAATGAAGGAGGGCCTGCAGAGGACGCTCTGCTGGCCAGGCCTTGGCGGGACCACAGGACACTTCATTATGTAGCGATCGCTCTGCTCCAACCTCTTCACCCCTTTGCGAAAGATTCTGATTTCCAACCTGTAATTTGCGTTCTGGAAGGAGAACAGCATTCATATGCACAAATGAAAGAAGAAAGTGCAGCTGAGAGGCCACCCTTAGAGGTCGGTGCCTGTTTATTAAGTCTCCTGGAGGTTGGATGAGCAGCGAGACAAAGGCCAGCGTGAACTGGGGCTCGGGTCCCACTTTGGGGCTCTACCAGATTGCCCTGACCAGGAGCCCTGGGTCTAGGGGCAGCGTGGGTTTCAGAAAGGTCACCCTTGGCCACATAGAGCAGGAGCTGGTACCTATGCACCCTGGAGTGTGTGTGTGTGTGTGTGTGTGTGTGTGTGTGTGTGTGTGTGTGTGTGTGTGTGTGTGAGAGACACTCCTGGGATTTGAACTCAGGACTCATGTTTCCCTTTTGCTTCCCAGTCCTCAGTAATACAAAACATAGCAAAACCGTTTTTGTACCCACCTCCTTTTGCACAAAACAGGCCGAGTACAGAGCCTGGAAAATGAAGTGACCCTCAGGCCCGGGATGCAGGAGGTAGCCGCACTGGGCCAGAAGATGACCCTGACCTCCAGGGGACCTCCAGGTTCCTGCAAGGAGAAAGGGCCAGCACGGCGGTTCACACAGAGGCTACTTTTCTATTGAGGTCAGAAGCATCAGACGCCCATCCACACCCAGGCCTCCACCCCAGGGCCCGGCTAGCACGAGAGCAGCAGGCCAGCAGCCTGGGACTCCACTTGGGGCGTCAGCCGCCTCCAGCATCTCCCTGCTGTAGGCCCATCCTGGGCGCTGTCTCTGCCCTCATCTCCTGCTTCCCTTCCGCATAGGTCTTGTTCAAGCCTGAGTCAGACCTGTCCTTCCTCTGTCCACATCTCCCTTTCTGACCCCAGCATCCCAGGCACACACCTGCCTCAGGGCCTTTGCATTGGCTGAGCCCTGCGCTTCCTCCCTGAAGCACTTATTATTATCCCAGCCCCTGCGATTTAATTGACGATTTAGAATAAGGGATGCTTTGCTGCCCTTCCCAAAATGTCAGCTTCATGGCACCAGGTTTGCTTTTCTTCATCAATGCATCCCAGCTATAGATAGGACTCTCTGTAAATAGTTGTTGGATGGATGACATACAAAAATTTCAGCCAGGCATTGAGATCTGAGGATTGCAGTTCAAAGTCAACCCAGGTAGAAAAGCCCATGATGGGCTGGGACAGTAGCTCAGTGGTAGAGCGCTTGCCTTGCATGCATGAGGCCCTGGGTTCAGTTCCTCAGCACCACATAAGCAGAAGCAGCTGGAAGTGGCGCTGTGGCTCAAGTGGTAGTGTTCTAGCCTTGAGCTGAAAAGCTGAGGGACAGGGCCTGGGCCCAGAGTTCAGGCTCCACGACAAAAAGAAAAAGAAAAGTCCATGAGACTTCTTTCTAAGCTGGAAATGGAGGTATGGCTCAATGGTAGAGGACCGAGGTAGGGCAGAAAAATTCAAGTGAGAGCTTGAGGCCTGAGTTCAAGCCCCAGTGCTTGAATCTCACTGCTAAAGGGATCATGGACCGTTTTTATTATCTCCTTTCCACTATTCCAGGTTTCCAGAATTATCTTGTATTGCTTTTGTCTTAGTTTTTGTTTTCTGTTTTTTTTGGGGGGTTGTTTTTGTTTTTGGGTCATTCTGGGGGCTTGAACTCAGGGCCTGGGTACCTTCCCTGAGCTTTTGTGCTCAAGGCTAGCACTCTGCCACCTGAACCACAGCTCCACTTCTGGCTTTCTGGTGGGTAGCTGGAGATCAGAGTCTCACCGACTTTCCTGCCCAGGCTGGCTTTGACCTGAGATCCTCAGATCTCAGCCTCCTGAGTAGCTAGGATGACAGGCGTGAGCCACGGTTTCATTTTCAACTACTTGACTGTGTCACTGATAGGAGAAGGGTGTCCCACCGTGGAGTAGGGCAGCTCCGGGCAGCGTTTTGGTCCCCAGCTTACTTGTCTCTTGGCATGCTTTGCTTTAAAAAAAAAAAAAAAAAAAAGCAAGACAGCTTCCAGGGCTATCTTTAGCAAGAGATCAAGACAGAGAGCGAGGCTCTGAAAGGTAGCTCGCTGGGGAAATAAAGTGTCTAAGCCTGGATGTGCAAATTGACCCAGATCGTTTTAGTTTGGCATTCACGTTTGCGCGTTGTAAATATTTGCCTGGCTCCCCACTGTTTCCACCTGCTTGCTGTCCCTTCATCTCTGGAAGGCAGCAGGCACCCCATTTCTCTACCCCACCTGGCAGGGCTGCGTGACATAAAAACTCCCTCGGAAGCCACAGGTGCCTCTGACAGCCTCAGAAACTAATGGCTTGTGGCAGGCCACCATGACTAATTTTCTGATTATTGACTTTATGATTTTCCGCTTAAAACTTCTTTATAATAACACACAGAAAATGTTTAATGGGCTCTATCCAGAGCCATAAAAATTACTTATTGAACAAGTGTTTTAAAACTATTAATCTATTGTTTTCCATTAATAATGGCTCTCCAAAGAACAGGCGACAGCTTAATGTAGCCGCAGCATTTCTTCTGGAAAAAGTGGCCTTTTAATACACCAAGTCTCCGGAGAAGCCACAATCTTGCTGGCCATTTGGGCAACTGACCCTCACAGGACAGAAGAGGGCCTCAGCAGCCAGTCTGGGCTTCAGGATTTCTAGAATGAAGTCAGGTGCTGGTGGCTCACGCCTGGAATCCTGGCTACTCAGGAGGCTGAGATCTGAGGATCACAGTTCAAAGCCAGCCTGGGCAGGAAACTCCATGAGACTCTTACCTCCAGTAAACTACCAAAAAGCTGGAAGTGGAGCTGTGGCTCAAGTGGCAGAGCACTAACTTTGAACAACAACAACAAAAAAAAAAAAAACTCAGAAACAGTGCCCAAGCCCTGAGTTCAAGCCCTAGCATTGCCACAAAAATTTTAAAAGAAGAAGAATTTCTAGAATAAAGCTGTGCATGGGTGGCTCACAGCTAGAATCTTAGCTACTCAGGAGGCTGAGATCTGAGGATTGAAGTTAAAAGCCAGTGCAGGCAGGAAAGTCTGTGAGACACTTATTTCCCATTAACTACCCAAAAAGCCAGAAATGGAACTATGGCTCAAGGGATAGAATGCTAGTATTGAAGAAAAATTAGCACAGGGATTACTCCTAAGCTGAGTTTAAGCCCCAGTATCAGCACCAAAAGCAAAAACAAAAAACCTAGAATAATGAGGATGCTGGGGAGTTTTGCTAGACTCTGGGAGAAATGGAAAAGCCAGTTTCCTCAGTTTCTCTTTTTTTGTGCAAAAGTGGCAGGGGGAGGGATTTTGAGGAGTCACTTTGCAACCTCCAAGATATAAAAAACACAAGGAATTGGGCTACTCCAATTCTTTCCAGAAGGTTCCAGAAGGTTCCAGGTGATTCACCTTATGGTATCCATTCCCCCTCTTACTGTGTCCTGTTCATGATGGCAAAACTTCTGACAAAGGGCCACCAGCCCTGGGTTTTGGTTGTTTCCAGTGGCTATTCATCCATCAAGCATGAGAGAGTTACTGACTCTCCATGAGTAAGAACTGTCCTGTGGCACCAGGCACTGGTGGCTCACGCCTGTCATCCTAGCTACTCAGGAGGCTGAGATCTGAGGATCATGGTTCAAAGCCAGCCCAGGCAGGAAAGTCCCCTTGAGACTCTTATTTCCAATTAACCACTCAAAAGCTGGAAATGGCGCTGCGGCTCAAGTAGCTGAGCACTAGCCTTGAGCACAAAGAGGCTCAGGGACAGCGCTGAAGCCCTGAGTTCAAGCCCTACAACCAACAAAAAAATAAAGAATTGTCCTGAAGCTGTCCGGCTATTTCTCTGCCAGGGCAGTTTGGGTTTGGGAGCACACCACTTCTACAGGGATGCTTCTTCCCAGGTTTTAGGCGCTTTTATTTGTTTTTGTCAGTCGTGGGGCTTGAACTCTGGGCCTGGGTGCTGTCCCTGATCTCTTCAGTTCAAGGTGATCACTCTACCACCTGAGCCCACAGCGCCACTTCTGGTTTTCTGGTGGTTTATTCACAAATATTCACAGTGTCTGCCATGAGCACCAGCAGCATGATCAGTCCCCACAGAGCTCTCCCTCCCTCCTCCCCCCTTCTCCCCCCCACCCTCCCTATAACCCAGGTGCCATCACCGTCCTGCAGACCCTGCTGGGAACCACCGTGGAAGACATTTCGAGCAGAGCTGACAGGAGGGTGTGACTGGGCAGCTCTGGCCCTGGCGGCTGTGAGCAGAGATGGCAGAGACAGCAAGGAGCAGCAGGACGAGAAGAGGGACTTCCAGATGGGGAAGGCCCTGTCCAGCCAGCAGCGGCCCCTTACCTAGTGGGTGCAGGGTCCGGGCCAGCCACTGCCTCAGCCCCTCCACACGGGCCCTGGGGATCCGCAGGGTCATGTAGTCAGAGAAGCACTCGGCCCTGTCTGCAGAACAAGACCCGCATCCTGGAGGAGGAGGGAGGAAGGAAGGAGGGGACAGAAGAAGGAAGGGAGGAGGGGGGAGATGGGCTTCCCCACTCAGCCCTGCCTCAGTGGATGAGTTGCGAAGGGCATGTGGTCATCCTGACAACACTACAAAGAGTTTTCAGAGACCGGAAGCAAGGGGAATTAGTGACCCACGTGAGAGCACTGAGTCCGAGCATCTGGGTCTGCACCCCGCTCTGTTCTCTGCGTGTGTGCAGGCGTGTGCATGCCTGTGTGGGTACGTGTCTGTTGCTCAGCCTCAGTCTCTTCCTGTGAATTGATCGCATGATGGGATGGGTGACGGTGGTAGAGATGGTAGTGATAGTGAAGATTAGGATGGAAATGGCGGTGATTATGGCGATAGGAATGATAGAGGTGATGGCGGTGGTGATGATAGTGGTGGGGATGATAGTAATGGTGATGGTAATGGTGGTGGTGGAGATGATGATGGTGACAGGCACGATGATGGAGATGGAGATGGTGATGGTGGCGATGTGTTGGCGATGACGGTAGGGCTGGAAATGATGGTGGATGTGAGACTTGGAGAAGTTCACGCGTCTCTGCAGGGTGCTCGTGGCAGGACAGGTGCCTGGGATGTGACCACGACTTCCACGCAGCGTGGACAGGGCTTTCCCCGCTCTCAGAGCTGGGGGCCCGCGGCCCCCCCCCGCACCTACCAGCTCAGCAGCTGCTGGAGAGAGCGCGCCCAGGAGAGAGCAGGTGTCAGAACACCACTTCTCCGTGGGGTTCGGCAAACACAGAAAATGGGGCGCCTGGGGTCGGAGGCGTGGCTCAGGTAGTAGAGTGCCAGCCAAGGAGCAAAAGTATCAGATACCAAGTTTAAGTCCTGGCCTTGGACAAACAGGAAAAAAGGAAGAGAAGAAGATGGGGCCCCTGCCCCAGCTGCACACCGTGGCATTTGAGAAGGTCTGAGTGAGCAGACCCAAGTGGGAGACCCGGGATTCGAACCATCAGGAGCGTAGGAACTTCCTCCCAGGTCACCGGACCCAGAAACAGTGGGGTGGGGCAAGCTACTCAGCCTCAGACCCCAAAACCCAGGCAGTGGCCACCGCCTGAGCACAGCCCATGGCGAGTGCGGCATCCTGGAAGTGCCCCATGTCCCACCCCATCCCCCCACCAGCCACAGGGCAACCTGCACCATGTCAGTCCCTTCTCAGAACCATGGATCGCTCCCTACTGCCAGTGTGTGTATGTGTGTGTGTGTGTCTTGTTGGTCGTGGGGCTTGAACTCGGGGCCTGGGCACTGTCCCTGAGCTCTTCAGCTCACTCTACCACTTTGAGTTACAGTGCTACTTCCAGTGTTCTGGTGGTTCATTGGAGATCAGAGTCTCACAGACTTTCCTGCCCGGGCTGGCTTGGAACCAAGATCCTCAGCTCTCAGCCTCCTGAGTGGCTAGGATGACAGGTGTGAGCCACCAGCATCCAGCTGTTCCCTCTTTCTAAACAGCATTCCTCACTCTGCTGGATGGAGATGAGCTTGTCTTCCACTCAGGTGACATAAGGCTTGGAGCAGGGGGGTGGGCAGGGGCTGTGGTGGTCCTGTCAATCATTCTGTGCCTAAGGCACCTTCTTAGATCGGTGTCTGGGCCCCAGCAGCTGTTAAATATACACCAGGAAATGGCTGTGGTTGAAATCTGGGGTGGCCGGGAAATAGAGAACGAGAGGGGTGTTAGTCTAATTCCCTCCTGCCTCCCCCCACGAGCTGGGAGGCCTAGATGATGCCAACTCATTCACTCGTTCACCGAGCACACTGCCTGGCAGCCTCAGACTTCCATTCCACATGCACAGGCCTCGTCGGCAGCCCCACAGGTGCAGCACTAACCAGGGAGACGAAAGCAACTAAGGAATCTTCCAGAACCTTGCAGGATGAGCCCTTTCCCCCAGAGCCCAGCCCAGGCCTCCAGACATGCCCACGTTCCACAGATTTCCACTGTGCACTAGCTGAGGACTCAAAAAGCGAGAAGGTGGGGAAAACATCTTCTGTCCTGAGTGGACAGGCAACCTACGAGGAAGGATACAACGGGCCTGAGGGAGGAGGGGGCCCTGGAGTGAGCTGGGGTAAGTCACTTCTCTGAGATTCCGTTTCCTCTTCTGCAAAAATGGGTATATGCAGAGAGAAGATTTGGGAGGAAGATGCTAAGCTTTTGCAAATGTTGCTTTGTTTATCTGGGGACAGAGACCACACACCACACAGCCTAGGCGAATGACGTGATTTCAGGCTGGGAATCTTGAACTGCAGGATGCCCATGATTTAACATCCAGGCAGGGCAGACCTAGGTGGGACCGGCAGTGCTCAGCCAAGCTACTTAGCTGAGCCCCAGGAAAACTCTGCACGCTGCAGCTCTGGTGAGCAACACTCGGTCTGGTTCCGACTCGTGGAAGTCAGCGCTGTCCACCTGTCCCCAGTGAGAGAGGACGCTGACAGGCTCTTTGTGGGCCCTGCCCTGAGCATTCTCCCCTTAGCTGAGTTGAAACAAGAGCGTCTTCTCTGTCATGAACCACAGCCTTGAGGTCTGTGAATCATGGTGAATGAAGGAGGCCTTTTTGCTGCTCAAGATTGGAGCTCTACCTCTTGAGCCACATCTGATTCATTGCAGTGTAGGGGCTCTTGCAAGCCAGGCGCTGGTGGCTCACACCTGTCATCTTAGCTACTCCGGAGGCTGAGATCTGAGGATCATGCTTCAAAGCCAGCCCAGGTGGGAAAGTCCATGAGACTTTTATCTCCAATTAGCCACCAGAAAAGCCACACGTGGAGCTGTGGCTCAAGCGGTAGAGTGCTCGCCTTGAACACAAAAGCTCTGGGACAGCTCCTAGGCTCTGAGTTCAAGCCCCACATCTGACATAAAAAAGATAAAGGGGGGGAAAAAAGTTGCTTGGCTTTGTTTGCTCAGACCGGCTTTGAACTATGGTGCTCAGATCTGACTTTCTGAGTAGCAAGGATTATAGTCACAAGCGAGTGATGTGGGGAGGGGGTGGAGGGTAGGAGGAGGGCATTCTAAGTCTCTCAAAGACAAAATAAGCTGAGGAAAACCACAGTACTGGGCCTGGTGGAGAACAAATAGTCCCTGTGTGTGGCTTCTATAAAGTCCTCTGTAGTGACTGAGGGCAGAGACCCTGGGACAGCCTGATGGGCATCCAGGCTCACCCGCCCACTTCCAGAGGACCCAGACAAATCACACACACCTCTGGACCGTGGCTTCCTTGCAAAGATTTTCGCTGTGGTTAGAATGAGTTAGAAGACACAAAACCTCCACGCCAGACATGGTTCAACACATAGGCTCCTTGCATGGGTGTCGGTGGCTCATGCCTGTCTACCTTAGCTACCTCGGAGGCTGAGATCTGAGGATCGTGGCTCAAAGCCAACCTGGGCAACAGAGTCTATGAGACTCTTATCTCTCGTTAACCACCAAAAAACGAGAAGTAGAGCTGTGGCTCAAATGGTAGAGCCTGAGTGAAAAAACCAAGTGAGAATGGAGAGCCCCGTAATAGTGCACGTGCATGCATGCACGCACACACACACACACACACTCCTCATGTTTGCTGTATTCCTGAGTCAAGACCCCAGGCCCAGGCTCGATTCAGGCACCTGCAGGACTAGCAAGCCAGTGGCCCAGCGCCTAGACACTCAGATCCCAAGTTTCTTGCTGGAAAAAGAGATGGTGAAGGCTTTCCAGCTTTCTGCTGAATACAACACCGGCACAGCGTGGCGTTATCCATCCACTCCTGGACGAGTGGAGAAGCACCCGAAGCCTGCTACACACCAGAAAAGCGAGATTGCTTTACCTGTGGGAGTGCCCTGAGCAGGGCGTGGCCGGTCCCGGACTGACCTGGAGCTGGGAATCCTGGGGCACACCACAGGCTGAACACAGGCGAGACAAACAGCCCTGCACGGAGGAGGAAGGCGTGGGGGTCACAGCCCAGCCCACCCTCTGGCCTTCATTTAGCCCCACAATTTTACTCCTTTTGTTTTGGTGTGTGTGTGTGTGTGTGTGTGTGTGTGCGTGTGTGTGTGTGTGTGTGTGCTGGCCCAAGGACTTGAACTCAGGGACTGGGTGCTGTCCCTGAGCTCTTCCTCTCAAAGCTAGGGCTCTACCATTTGAGCCACAGTGCCACTTCTGGTTTTTGAGTGGTTAATTGGCTATAAGAGTCTCACAGACTTTCCTGCCAGGGCTGGCTTCCAGCCTCCTGAGTAGCTAAGGCTGCAGGCATGAGCCACCAGCTGTTTTATTGTTGTTGTTTTATTTGTTTCCATACTAGGGTTTGTACTCAAGGTCCTAAACTACCTCTTGAGACATGCTTCCACTTCTGACTTGGTTGCTGGGTAATTGGAGATAAGAATCATACAGACTTTTCTGCCCTAGATGGCTTTGAACCCAGATCCTCAAGCCTTAGCCTCCTGAGTAGCTAGGATTAGAAAGCAGGAGCCACCAGCACCCAGCTTGTTTGGTCATTTATTTATTTATTTGTCTTTTGTATTTCCTCACTGCCCCAGCATTTTTTATTATCTGTACAAAGGGGTTCCATTTTGATACCTCTATGTATGAATATAACGTATCTTAACCAGACTCTCTCCTCTCTTCCTGGCCCTTCACTTCCCAACCATTGTTCTATTTTTCTACCTGGTTTTGCTTTTCTGAGACAGGGTCCCACCCTGGAACCTAGGAGGACCTTGAGCTAATGATCTTCCTGCCTCTTCCTCCTGAAAGCTGAGATTATAGGCATGCATATCTCAGTTCATCTCATTCAGTCAAAGACATCTATTTGGCTAACTAGGGGCTCCAACTACAGGGCTTCCACATACTGGGTAAACCCTCTACTACTGAGCCACACATAACCCTACTCAGGAGGCTGAGAACTGGAGGTTTTCTGTTCAAGGCCAGCCAAGATAGAAAAGTCCATATGTCTCAATCTGCCAGGCCCAGGCAGCAGAGCCTGCAGAGCCATGGTGCAGACTACGATTTTGTTATAAAATGATAAGTTCTGGAGAATACTAAGCAGAAAAGGAACTGGATCATGTGTTTCAAGAAGGTCCTTCTGGCTGAGTACAGTGAATCCTGCCTGTAATACCAGCTACTCAGGAGTCCGATAAGAAAGATCAAGGTTCAAGACTAGCCCAGGTAAAAGTTAGCAAGCAAGACTTCCATCTCGACCAATTAGCTGAGCATAGCAGTGTTTGTCTCTACTCCTAGCTACGTGGGTGGTGTAAATAGGAGAATCACAGTCCTGGAAAGATGAAAGTTCTAGGCACAAAATGAAATTTGTCTGAAAAATAATGCAGAAAGGTCTAGAGGGGTTCAAGGGCAGCGTCCTTCGCACAAGGGCAAGTCCTGAAGGTGAACCCGAGCACCACCCATAAAATGGGCGACCTTGCCGGGCACCTGTGGCTCCCACCTGTCATCCTGGCTACTCAGGAGGCTGAGATCTGAGAATCATGGTCCAAAGCCAACCGGAGCGGGAAAGGCCCGGAGACTTTTCTCTCCAACCAACCACCCAAAGCCAGAAGTGGAGCTGTGGCTCAGGTGAACAAATGTGAGCATGGAGCCAAACAGCCAAGGAGACCCTGCCTGAGTATGAGCCCCAGTACCAACACACACACACACACACACACACACACACACACACACACACACACAACCAAAACTGAGGAAGAAGCCTCGGGCGGGAGAAGTTCGCAGTTTTTCTCTGACATTTAGCAATGTCGTCAGCAGGGTACCCTGGCCTGTGCTGAGGAAAACCAAGCTAAATATGCATGCTGGAAGCTCCGGCGGCCTACACCGCCTTCAGTCCCATCAGAAGTGAGGCGTGGGCTTGGGTTTTGCCCTCTCTCTTCTCCAGCAGCCCTTTAACTTGCTTTGCCCAGCCTTGAACACGTGATACCTAGTGCCCCAAAGCTGAGCTGGGGGGGAAAGGGGGGGAGTCCCTGGCTTAGGACCCCGCTCTGTTTGCCCACCCACTAAGCTACTCTGTGCCTTCATTGTCCACAGAGTTACAGAACAGAAACAAAGAGGCCAGTCAGGGCTGCTGGACTGCTGACTTTCAAGCTGACCTTCAAGACCAAACTCCCCACTCCAAAGAGCTCAAAAAGTGATTTTTCTCATCTTTTCTTTTTTGTTGGTCATGGGGCTTGAACTGTGGGCCTGGGTGCTGTCCCTCAGTTCTTCAGTTCAAGGCAAGCACTCTATCACTTGAGCCATAGTGCTGCTTCCCATTTTCTGGTGGTTAATTGGGGATAAGAGTCTCACAGCCTTTCTTGCCCAGGCTGGCTTTGCACTGAGATTCTCAGATCTCAGCTTCCAGAGTAACTAGGATTACAAGTGTGAGCCACCATGCCTGGCTCTTCTTTTCTTTCTTTTTCTTTTTTTTTTTTGGGTCCGGTCGTGGGGCCTGAACTCTGGGTCTGGGCGCTGTCCCTCAGCTCTTCAGCTCAAGGCTAGTGCTCTACCACTTGAGCCACAGCGCCTCTTCCGGCTTTTTTCTTTTTGCTTATGTGGTGCTGAGGAATCGAACCCAGGGCCTCAGGCATGCAAGGCAAGTGCTCTACCACTGAGCCACCTTCCCAGCCCCTACTTCCGGCTTCTTGTTGGTTAGTTGGACATAAGAATCCCAAGGAGGGCTGGGAAAGAGGCTTAGTGATAGAGCACTTGCCTTGCATGCATGAGGCCCTGGGTTCGATTCCTCAGCACCACATAAGCAAAAAGCCGGAAGTGGTGCTGTAGCTCAAGTGGTAGAGTGCTCAGGGACAGTGCCCAGGCCCTGAGTTCAAGCCCCAGAGCTGACAAAAAAAAAAAAAAGAGTCTCACAAACTTTTCTGCCCAGGCCAGCTTCAAACTGCTGTCCTCAGATCTCAGCCTCCTGAGTAGCTAGGATGACAGGCGGGAGCCACCAGCGCCCGGCTCAACATGATTTCTTAACAGCAGATCTCAGCCCCGAAAGGGAGCTTGCCGTTCCTGAGGGAAATAACATTTTCTCCTTCTCACAATTGGATCACTGGTGGCGAGGAATCTGATGTTTGAAAACTCCCTTAAGTAAGGACCCCTTGTCCCCTGAACCCTAATTTCTTTCAAGAATCCCTGGGAACACTCAAGGAGAATCCCATTTCCCCAGCGTGCTGCAGATCCTTTATAAGCCAGGAGGACTGGAATCTCAGCTCAAGGGATACTATGGGGCCTGGAGAAGTAGGGGTGACTGACCAGCTCTCCCTGCCCCCCTCTTCCGCTCAGATGGGAGGTGTCTCTGGGCTAAGTGATCAGCATTCATCTCTCCTCTCTCACAGGGGCCAAGGAAGCCTTTCGAGGGATGCTTACCAAATGATGGCCTGGGCGCCCCGCATCCTCATGTTAGCTGCCCTCTCCTCCCAGAAGCAGCACCCTGCTCATAAATAAAGGTGAGCTGTCCCCTCCCCCTTCTGCAGGGGGGAGGGGTGTCACTTAGGTGCCAGAAAGCTGGGAGGGTATCCATACCCCCCAGCTCCTCCCCAACCCCCAGGGTAAGATGAACAAAAGGAACAGGCTAAGAGAACAAAATGAGAAGAGTGGGGGCTGGGGTGGAGAGCTGAGAGACCCAGAGCTCACCTAACCAGGGAAGCCCAGGCTTCCAACTCTAGTAAAGAGGGAGGGACAGGAGGCAAGGTGGCTGAATTTTATAATCCCAACTATTCAGGAGGCTGAGATTTGAGGATCGCCATTCAGAACCAACCTGGACAGGAAAGTCCATTAGACTCTTCTCTCCAATTAACAAACATCTAAAAAGCAGACGTGGATCTGTGGCTCAAAGGGGTAGAGCGCCAGCCTGGAGTAGAAAAAGCTCAAGGGCTGGGAAGATGGTTCAGTGGTGGAATGCTTGCCTTGCATGCTTGAGGTCCTGGGTTCAAAACCTCAGCACCACATAAGCAGAAAAAGCCAGAAGTGGCGCTGTGGCTCAAGAGGTAGAGCGCTAGCCTTGAGCTGAAGAGCTGAGGGACAGCACCCAGGCCCAGAGTTCAGGCCCCACGACCGACCAAAAAGAAAAAAGAAAAGCTCAAGGATAGTGCCCAGGGCCTGAGTTCAAACTCCAGAATTGACTAAAGGAAAAAAAAAGAGAGAGAGAGAAAGGAGGAAGAGGAGGGAGAGAAGAGGAGGGGAAGAGGGAGGAGAAAAGGGCCAGAAGAGGTTGGTTCTAGTGATTCCCCTTCAGTGGAGGCAAGGAGGCTGGGCATTCACCTCAGCAGGAAAAGGTGAAGGAGATGTTCAGGATGAAGAAGAGAAGCTGAGGGCTGGGAATGTGGCTTAGGGGCTTAGTGGCTTCATGCTTGCCCTGCATGCATGAAGTCCTGGGTCTGATTCCTCAGGACCACATACACAGAAAAAGCTGGAAGTGGTGCTGTGGCTCAAGGGGTAGAGTGCTAGCCTTGTGCAAAAGAAGCTCAGGGACAGTGCCCAGGCCCCGAGTTCAAGCTCCAGGCCTGGCAAAAAAGGAAAAAGAAAAGAAAAGCTGAGAGGAGCTGGGGTGGGACTGGAGAAACCCACACTGCCCCCCTCCTATGGAGGTAGCAGGTTTCTGAGTCTAATTTGTGTTTCTCCGTGTGCATTGTGACCAGCTTGAGAAAGTCCCAGAAGGGAAAGAAGCAGAAAGACTAGCTGAGCATCTGGTGCCTCTCCCTCACCAGGGCCCTCCCTCCATCCCCCCCTCCCCGCCCCACACCCCAGCCTGTGGTTGGAGTCTGGGCTCTGTGCCCACCTACCTGCTTCCTCCAGCCCCCGAGAGGCCCAGCTGTTGGCATGGAACAGGCCGCTGGAAGCTCATGCCTGTAATCCCAGCTACTCAGGAGATGGAGATCTGGAGGATCAAATTCAAGCCAGTCTGGGCAGAAAAATCTGAAAGACTCTATCTCCAAAATAACCAGCAAAAAATAGGATTATTGATGTGACTCAAGTGGTCTAGCTCCAACTAAGCAAGTACAAAGTCCTGAGTTCAAACATTAGGACCACCATATGTATCTTTCCCCCTCTCATGAGTTATTTCTTTTCTTTTGTAGGTTGTGGGGCTTGAATTCTGGGCCTGGGCGCCGTCCCTCAGTTCTTCAGCTCTAGGCAAGCACTGTATCACTTGAGCCACAGAGCTACTTCCTGTTTTCTGGTGGTTTATTGGAGATAGTATCACGGATGTTCCTGCCCAGCCTGGCTTTAAACGGTGACCCTCAGCTCTCAGCCTCCTGAGTAGCTAGGATGACAGGATGAGCCACCAGCACCTGGCTGTTACTTTTCTTTTTCTTTCTTATCTTTTGTCCTCCCCCTGTGTGTGTGTGTGTGTGTGTGTGTGTGTGTGTGTACTGGTACTGGGATCTTGAACTCAGGGTGGGGACACTGTCCCTTAGCTTTGTACTCAAGGCTGGCATTATACCCCTTGAGCAACAGCTCCAGCTCCACATCAGGCTCTTTTCCTTTTTTTCTTTTTATTGGTTGGTCGTGGGGCTTGAACTCTGAGCTTGGGTGCTGTCCCTCAGCTCTTCAGCTCAAGGTCGCGCTCTACCGCTTGAGCCACAGTGCCACCTCCAGTTTTCTAGTGGTTTATTGGAGATAAGAGTCTCACAAACTTTCCTGCCTGGGCTGGCTTTCAACCGTGATCCTCAGATCTCAGCCTCCAGAGTACCTAGGATTACAGGTATGAGCCACTGGCTCCCAGCTTTTCCTTTTTTCTTTTGTTTGTTTTGTTTTTTGGGGGGAGGGGTCCAGTCGTGGGGCCTGAACTCTGGGCCTGGGTGCTGTCCCTCAGCTCTTCCACTCAAGGCTAGCGCTCTACCACTTGAGCCACAGCACCACTTCCGGCTTTTTTTCTTTTTGCTTATGTGGTGCTGAGGAATTGAACCCAGAGCCTCATGCATGCAAGGGAAGCGTTCTACCACTGAGCCACCTTCCTTTTTTCTATAAGTGCTGTTCTCTGTCTCTGTCTCTCTATCTCTGTCTCTGTCTGTCTGTCTCTCTCTCTCAGTTGTGGGGCTTGAACTCAGGGCCTGGGTATTGCCCTTCAGCTCTTCTGCTCAAGGCTAGTGCTCCACCACTTTGAGCCATTGTTTCACTTCTTGTGGTTAATTGGAGATGAGAGTTGTGGGCTTTCCTGCCCAGGTTGGGTTTGAACTGTGATCCTCAGATCTCGGCCTCCTGAGTAGCTAGTAGCTAGAGGTTTGAACCACTAGTGTCTGGCTGCTTCTCTTTTTTAATACACCTATTAAATAACACATATTCTGGTGCCTCACCACCACCTTCTTTCCTTCTTCCACTCACGCTGGTTCCCCCTACCTAGCAGTCCCCCTTTTACAATAATGTCATTTATTATTGTTGATGATGTTATTTCAGGTCTAGAATTTGCTAGGTTGCTTAACTTTTTGTTTTATGTTATTTTTGTGCCATTCCTGGAGCTTAAACTCAGGTGTAGGTGCTGTCCCTGAGCTTTTGTGCTCAAGGATAACACTCTACTACTTGAGCCACAGCACCATTTCTGGCTTTTGGGTGGTTCATGGGAGATAGAGTCTCATGGATTTTCCTGCCCAGGCTGGCTTTGAACTTCAATCCTCAGATCTCAGCCAGGGTGACTCAGCCTCCTGAGGAGCTAGGATTACAGGCATGAGCTACTGATGCCAGCCTCTGCTTCCCTTTTTAACACTCCCTCTATTGCTGTGCTTTTTCTTTACTCTTAGATGGCCCTGGGTTCGCTTGGGGCTACCTGGGCACACAGGGAGCCTGGAACCTGTCCCCGGTGGTGTGGTCGAAGCTGTTTGTCCCCAGGGTCTGTTCACACACAGATGGAGGCCCTCATTGCCCCAAACAAAAGCAAACAAGAGAGGGTCCAGCTGGTTAAACATCACAAGGACCCTTCAGGCAAGCAGGAGGAGGCTGGGAGGCCTGGCTTAGTACACATCCCCGGGAGCCTAGGGGAGCGACAAGGCCAGGCAAACACATTCAGCACACAACTCACTCACCCCAAAGAGCCTGCAAGGACTTCCAGGCTCCTGCTGCAACCTTGGTTTCAACAAACAAACAAGCCAAGCATGGGTAGCTCACACCTGTAATCCTGGCTACTCAGGAGGCCAAGATCTGAGGATTGCAGTTCAAAACCAGCCCAAGCAGGAAAATCCATTTGACTCTGATCTACAATTAGCTATCCAAAAAGCTGGAAGTGAAGCCGGGGTTCAAGGGAGAGAGCACCAGCCTTGAGCAAAAAAGCTCAGGGAAAGCACCCAGGCCCTGAGTTTAAGGACTGGCACATACACCCCCACCTCTCCCCTCCAAAATAACAACTCTAATTGAGAAACTTGCCAGACTTTTTTTAGTTTAGTTTAGTTTTTACTGGTACTGGGGTTTGAACTCAGAGCCTCATACTGTTGCTTAGCTTTTTTTTTTTTTTTGGTCAGTTGTGGAGCTTGAATTCAGGGCCTGGGCGCTGTCCCTGAGCTTTTTTGCTCAATGCTAGCATTCTACCACTTTGAGCCATAGTTCCCCTTCTGGTTTCCTGGTGACTAATTGGAGATAAGAGTCTCATGGTGTTAGCAAAATGAGCTCCCTCCCCATATCTGAGTCCACTCCTTCCCCTCTCCACAGCTTAGCATGCCCCCTTCCTAGGCAACGCTAGGCCCATGTAGTAAAGGCAGTAAATAATCAGCCTCCAGCCCCCTTTCCCTTGGGATGGCACTTCTCTGGGGCAGCTACCAGAGGGGCAGCAAGAGCCCCTTACAGTGACCTTCAGCTCTGGGCAGCTGCAGGAGCCTTATCTACTATTTGGACAGCAACCATAAATCCTAGTCTGCCATGATGAAGCCCCGCGCCCACATGTCCACACCAGGGTCTCCGCCTCCTAGCCCCTTCCAGCCCCTCCTAAACCTCCTAGGTTCTATAGGTCACCCCAGACAAGAGCCGGGGCCTCTCACTTCTCCCTTGTGAGAAGGGGTCTTGCCAGCCTCCTTTCCCAGCAATGCACCTTTCTTTGTTCTCTGTACCTGGATGTCTGCGTGGTTTCCTGGCAAAGTCTAATTAATCTTTCACATGGACTTTCCTGCTTTGAACCACGATCCTTAGATCTCAGCCTCCTGAGTAGCTAGGATTACCGGCATGAAACGCTAGTGTCTGGCTTTTGCTTAGCTTTTTCACTCAAGTTCTCTACTAGCATTGAATAAAAACAAGTAGTAGAGCCACTTCCACTTCTGATTTGTCTTTCTTTCTACTTAATGGGAGATAAGAGTCTCATAGCCTTTTGTGCCTGGGCTTTCCCAGATGTTTGAATTTGCTCATCTCTGAGTTTCACATCAATATTGCCATTTTGCTTTTTCTCTTTTTTGCTATTTTTTAATGACAGTTGAAC